CTGTAGCAGGTGTCAGAGCCCCATTCCTTTTCATGGCTGCATAGTATTCCATTGTGTGGATACAGCACACTGTCTACTCACTCAACCCGAAGGCCACCTGGGGTGCCTCATCACTGTAAACATCCTGGGCCCCACCCATGACATAGGACCAGCCGATTCCAACGTCCAGCCAGGTTTGGGACCGCACTCCACCCTCCCGAAATCCCATCCTCTGGAAAGTTTCTCATCACTGTGCTTGACAACACTGACCAAAACAGCCACAAAAGCAAGAACTCCTTTCTGTAAAGACAAACCACTGATCAAAGAACCACAGAAGGGCAGCACTGAGCACAAAACCCACCAAGGTGAACGGTTTTAGTGGAAACACTGGGGCAGGTGGAGCCGGCTGCAGGAAGCCTATGCTGGCTGGCGTCTACAGCCCTCCAGCCCCTGTCCCTCTGTGCCTCTGCCCCTCCATCAGGTGTCCTTGCACCCAGTTGTGGAGCCCCTCCGGCCCGTCACATGACTGGCTCGGGCAGACGGGGATAACACTCGCTTGGTGTTAGCGTGACAGGTCAGTGCTGGGTTTGTTTAAAATGCAGTTGTAGATCGCGCTGGCTCAGAGGAAATGGCCAGAGGTGTTTGCCAAGTGTGGCCCAAGCAAGAGCACACAAGGCACCAGGCCACCTGCTACTGGTTCATAGTGAGAATGATGGTGCCCCAGGGCCCTGGAGACCCAACAAGTCCAGCGAAGTCTGACAAACCACTAAGAAAAAGGGAAACCCAGTGGAAGAAACAGGCAAATGGAAAAAGAAATGCACGAAAACACGCGAATCCCATGCCAGTCGTCACTCAGGGCAGAGGCCAGGCGCGGCCACTGGGACAGGACGTGGGGACAGTGAGCGTATGAGGGGTGGGGGCCTGGAAGATTCTGCACAATGAGTGTCACCTACCACGATGCAAAACAGGACTCTGGGTGGTGTTTAGTCAAATCATGTCACATGCATGAGCTCCACACAGCTGTGCAGCGAGGAAGGTCAGAACCAAATAAGATGTTAAACTTGATAGCAGAAGAGAGACGTTGACAGACAGAGATTGAGATAGAGAGAGACAAACTGGGAGAGGCTGAGAGACGA